TCAAAAAACACTCTCCAAAACATACATTTAGTTTTTTTCACAGGTAAGATATCATAATTTTAATATTGTATACATGATAATTTTAATACGTTAATTATTATTATAATAATACAATTTTTTGAAAATCAAATCGTCTAGAAGCTTAAACTTAGGTACAAATTAACCCCAAATAAAATAATAATTTTTGTTGAGTGGGGTGAGTTACTCCTTATTGTTTAAAATAATTTTTTCTTTCGGGGTACGAAAGTACCTAAAAAAGATAAAACGGTAAAAAAATGAATTGATCTTTATTTATTAATATGAAAATTATTGTGATTTATTAGCATTTTTTTTACAACAATAACGATAATAGTATCAGAAAAAATCTCATCTCGGGTGAACTAGTTAGGTAATAAATATCTAGAGTAGGGACTACATGCGAGTTCTCTAAACTTAATCTTATACCTTATATGTAATTAGTAAAATTATTATTTTTATTTTACATTAATGTTAATAATAAATATATTGAAATAAATACACTTTGTTTTCTTTTTATTTCCATTAAATTTTGTAATTAAAAAGAATAGAACTATTATAATTACAATTATTATTAAGTTATTAAAATTGTATTTCGCAGATGTTACGGTGAATACTTCAGTGCCGTGCACACCAAAATAGAAATAATGCAGGCGACACGAGTTGGGTTTAGTTTTTAATATGGCGTCGAGCCGTTTATTAAACAAAAGTTATAACAGTAAAAAAAAAAAACAATGTAACAGAAAATGCCACTGATACAAGATTTTTTTACAGTGTGAATACAAATGTTGAAGGTTTCGACTCGTGCGTTTCTAGGCGGTTCGAGAATCGGACGTTCGGTGGTGTCACGAAGATGACTGACTCAACGTATTATTGCGGCGGGGTATTAGACGCGAGGCATTTGTTGGACTTTACACCACGACGATAACGCGTGTGTGTAACGGTCCGGTTTACAGTGAAGCGGTGGCTGAGAAGGAGCAGATACGACCGCGGGGTGTCAACGTGTGACAACGCCGTGGCCTTGTCACAGATTAGTACTTAACGTAAAATAGTATTTAGTAGTGTTAGATATTTATTAATTCCTAATTTAATTTACCGCAACCTCCAAAAAAATATATACCACATTAATTTTAGGGAAATTTTAATTCAGCTCCCGAAATTGGAATCTATTCATTATTATAATACACAAAAAATCTAGTATCTGCNACATTAATGAATCATAGCTCGCTGATAATTGAATAAAATAAAAAAAAATTTGAAATTCAATCATATAAACTAGGCTAAAATGATGAACTATTATCATAAAAATTATTTTAATAGTAAATGGCATTTGAATATTTAGCATAACTTTATTCGTTTTTTTTTCATAATTTTTATTATGTAATTATTATAACTTGAAAATTTTAACTTTATAATTTTATTAGATAATAATATTAAATTTT